TATTATACACTGATCATTATTTTCTTAATTATGGGTATACTTTCAAAATTTAACTAACTTACATGCCAAATACTTCTATTATTTGGGGTAGAATTCACTTTACCCTTTGGATGAGTAACATCATAATCTTTCAACCTTGTAAAGGGAAACGTTCTTAACAAAATATCTTTCTTTGATTCATGGATTCCTTTTGGTGAGTCAAATGCAGGTATGCCAATTGATTTATAGCTTGTTTGGCCAAGCCGGAGAAATCAACTTATTTTGAGAAGTGCTTTTGAAAAAAGTACTTTTGGAGAGAATTAGTTTGTGTTTGACTAATCAGTCTGAAAAACACTTTTGAGAAATAATTTGTGTTTGGCCAAGCTTTTTAGAAAGTGCTTTTAAGTGTCAAATTACGAATAAGAACATAAATAAATTTACTTAATAATTAATATTATAAGTAAATAAATAATATCAAAATTTTGTTATTACATGCAATAATTTAAAAAAAAATATTTTATTTAAGTAAAATATGAAAATAAAATTAAAAAGTACTTAATTCTTTTAATATAAGTTAAATATATTAAAATTCCTTCAACAAATATAAAAGCATTCACCCCTAAAGTCACTATATATTAGAAAGTTTCCATTTCTTTATAAGAAATATTTATAAATTAATATCCTAAGTATTAGGTTTAAGGGTTATTTTGGTATATACTATATTTTGTTAAGGGTATTTTAGGTAAGAAGAAAAGTCAAAACTGCTTCTGCTTTTGAAAAGAAGCTATTTTTTTCTGCTTATCTGAAACTGCTTCTGCTTCTTTCCAAAAACACTTTTTTCCCAAATAAGCTTGGCCAAACACCTCAAATTAGGAAAAAAAGTGCTTTTGAAAAAAAAAGCATTTTTTTTGTCTTGAGAAGCTTGGCCAAACATGCTATTAAGCTATTAATCTGACTCAAAAATTTTAAAATTATAAATTCTTTTTATTGCACCTAGCGATGGGTATCAATTGTTATTTGTTACATAAGCGAAATCCTCGCAGAAAGGGCCTTTGAAAAACAATTTATTAGTTTAGAAATTCGAAGGCAACTTATTGCTTGTCGCAATCAGATTAGACATAAGACCTTAATCAAACTTTGGGAGGAGGTCTCTATGAACAATCTGTGCATATAGTGTCAATGTCATTTTTAGCTGAATCCAACTCCAATTTCTTATAGCCTGTTTTGTCAAAAGTGCTTTTTGTTTTTGTTGCCAAAAGTGTTTTCTTTTTTGGGCAAAAAATAAGTTAATTTTAGAAGTTTGGTCAAATATGCTAGTATTATTTAGGAAAAAAGAAAAAGAAATGAAGAGAAGGATAAATTGGACAACAAAAATCAACTTCTACTTTTGAAGCATAGAAAGATGACAAGTTGCAGAATATACCTACTAGCTAGTACTAGACACTACCTATATTCTAATAGGAGAATAAATCAACATATAATTGTCGAGAGCTTATTTATATAGCAAACAATTTTTTTGATTAATAATTGGAGACTTATGGATTGGTATTTTGATCTTAGCATTCCAGGGCAACTTTAAATCTATACACTAATGATGTCAACACGTAATTTGGCCGACTTTTTAATGTTTTATCCTTCATTTGTCTTTAGTTACGACACAAATTTTTAACGTAGTGCATCCAAAAATAGCTGACAAATATATAATATATGTAAATAATCCATATACTTTTTGATTTTTTTTGTAGTGATTACTAAAAATAATTGGTCCAAAATACTTGTCACTTTAGAAAATCAAAATAAAATTAGTTATTTTTTCCTACCTTTATCCATACTCTAATAAATGTAGAGAAATTAAGAATAGAATTAAATTGAGATCAAAAAACAAATAAGGACAATTTAGTTAAATTATCGTTGTATTTAATATTTTCTTAAGGGACATGCAAAAGGAAAACATAACTAGTATTTCCTCCGGTCCACTTTAAATGATTTTTTGGCTTTTTTCACACATATTAAGGAATTCACCTTTTAGCATTAATTAACAATAAAATTGACCATATTAACCTTAATTTGCTCATTGGAAATATAAAAAACTACTCCTATGCTCTTTACTACAAGGACAACTTTGGAAAGAAAAAGTTAATTCTTTCTTGATATTTGAAAAAATTAATATTGTGGACCACAAAAAAAAATACCAAAAAATCACTCAAAGTTGAATGGAGGGAGTAATATGGACCAGAGGGAGTATATAATATGTGTATACCATGCCGTATGTAATTACTAGTTTATACTAATCCATGTAAAGATCCTTTTTCAATTTTTTGAATATGGTTTTTGTGTTGACGGTTGATAAAGTTTAAAATCATTCAAATTATGGTAGGGCCTTTTACCAAATTTGATTCAACAAAAGCTTTATATGACTGCCAAAACAAAAGGAGATCAAGTGCAGATCGACTTTTAGCAAGCTTTCACTCAGGTCATACATTTAAATAAATTTATACTTGGCATTTTCGAGAAAGTTAATTTATCATAAACAAGAGATAAGATAGCAGAAGCAACAGATAAAGATTCTTAATCTCATCAATGACGTTAATACTACATATCTTCATGTGACGCCATGACTTGCACGTGCAGTATGTGGGGACACGTATCACTCAAAAAGTTCATTAAAAGCTTTTTTTTTTTTTTGGTGAAAGTTCATTAAAAGCTCTAAGACAACTTGATAACATATTTAAAGAGAAAATATAAAACCCCTAATCGCTACCCAATGCCAATAAATTACCAATTTTAAAATCATAATTATTTACAAATAATGTAAGGGCAATTTGGGTCCCTCATTTAAGCCTCTTCACCTACTCAATATTTTATTTGTTTTAATCATGATTAACTAACCCTTAATTAATAACTCCTGTATTAGCTAAGCTAAGATACGACAATTTGATTCGAAATCATGTGCAACTACCATTAATATACAAGGAACTTGATGATCATAATCATATGTAACCAATCAAAATTATTGTGGGACAACCCCTATTCAGCCGTGTACAGCTATCATTGCTTAAAAGGTCAAAACTTTGGTTCATTTTGACTTTTGGAGCAGTCAGCTAGTAAAGTTTGTAATTATGAGTCACATCAAATTTATGAAAAAAATATTAATTCGTCCAAATTTGCAAGTTTACATATAAAATTAAATGCATATATGGACTTTGGATTTTTTTTTGATTTCTCACCCGGTATTCGATATCCACATTGGGACCCTACTAATCCGGATTCGCGCCGGGAAGCCCCACATTGGGGAGTAAAACACTCCCTAACAAAGGCAACTCCATACCCAGGGCTTGAACTCGAGACCTCTGGTTAAGGATGAAGACTTTGGGAATTGAGATGTGCTACACTTTGCTTGCATAAAAGGAACTAACAAAAGGGGCTTACTTTTTTTTTTTTTTTTTTTTAACATGCGCCAAAAATTATTTATATTTGATGACCGAAAAAGTGTATAAATTTTGTAACTTTTATATATGACATACAATATATATATACAAAAACTAGGACAAAAAATATATTTCCTCCGTTTTAAATTAGATGAGGTACTTTCCTTTTTAGTCTGTTCTAAAATAAATGATATATTTCTAAATTTGGAAATAATTCAACTTTAAACTCTTCATTTTACCAATTTTACCTTTAATAAAAAGATTTTATTACCACACATATGTCATGGCCCCACAAGCTTTTATCCCTTAAGCTTTTAAGACCATAAGTTCAAAAGTCTTTTTTTTTCTTAAACTATGTGTCAAGGGTAAAAACTTACCCGCACCGAGTGTTTACACCAAACCAATAAATATATGATATGTGTCTTGCATATTGACTTCAATCATTTAACCATAGTAAATTACATGCATTCTCATCTAATTAAATTAATTAACCATAGTGAATTAATATAGTTTGGTGTAAACACCCGATGTGGATAAGTATTTACCGTCAAACTATCTTATTTAAATTGAAATGGAGGGAGTATATATATTTTCGGACATTATTTTGCAAGCGGCTATACCGTGCCATCTTCCCAAAAAAGAAACTACTACTATAATAATAGGGTTATTCAATGTGTTTGTCTTTTTGTTCTTTTGCAACTAGTGTTTGGGCAAGCTCTACCCAAATTTTTTGCCAGCTTTCTCATTTAACTAGGATATATTAAACATACTTTGTTCACTATTATATAAATCACATGTTTACCTCTATTTTCTATTGCATAACCACAATTACATAACAAGTTAATGACTACCGGCTTGTAAGGCTTAAGCAAAGGTTTTGTCACATGATGCCATGTTGGTTTAATAGGATCTGACTAGAAGATATTCTTTTGACATTCACTTTAGTAGCAAACACTATAATAAATGTATTATCCGAAATTAACAGACTATAGTATGTTACTTCTTTAGATATAAGAACTTAGAATTTTGCCAATTACTCTATTATTCTATGATTATGAAAACATACAACGAACTATTAAAATCTAGGCTGTTTTCCAGTTTGACATAATACCACATCTAATGGTTGACATATATAAACTAACAACTGAGGAAAAATCTACCCTTAATTTTTGCTGGGAGCTAGGTTAAGATATTTATCACCAAAATTTACAGTTTAATGGAATTAGTGGAAGTATCTCCCACATAGCAGGTAGTATGAGTTTAATTATTCTTCGTTTCCTTTTGTTGATCTCTAATGTAATACTCCATCCGATCCACTTTAAATAATTTTGGGACGGTTTTTTTACATATTAAGAAGTTCATATTTTAGCATTGATTAATAATATAATTGACCATATTAACCTTAATTATTTATTGAAAATACAAAAAATACTCCTAGACTCTTTACTCCAAGAGCAACTTTGAAAAAAAGAATTTAATTCTTTCTTGATATTTGAAAAAATCAAATATTGTACATAAAAAAAAGGCCGGGAGGTAGTATAGTGAAAATATAAAAGAAAAGAAGAAATAAAAAGGGAAAAAGGTAGATCGTGATTGGCAAAATTCCCAAGACAAACAATAGCATATCTCTTCCTTCTCACTTAAAGTAAAGTAAAGAGGCATCGAAGAGGAATTTAGCCGTTGAAAATGAAACGGCCGGCAATGATGCTAATTACAATAAGATTGAGACAAAGCCCTCTCTATTGGAGAACTTTTATTTTACTATACTACAAAACCTACACTGAAATCTAAGAAAAAGTTAAAGAAATATTAAAAAGCAATAAAACCAAATTGCTTTGGTATCTTATGGCGCACGACGCGCAATTCCTAATGAATTAAAAGAGTTAAAAATATTTTCCTCAAGTAAAGACAAATGTAGAGAAGTGACACGTGTCGAACGATCTCAGCCCGTGGTCCCACACCAAGGTGTCAAGCTCAAGCTATGTCGCCGGCGTTCCTCGTCCCTTTCCATCATTCCACGGCCAAACACCCTTGAACATTCCGGCAACTCTCCGAGATCGGCGAAAAGTGAATCATCTTCTTCTCTCAATGTTGTTAAAGTTGATGACATGTCAATATCAGTAACGTCGACTTCGGTTAAAATAGGACTTTCTAGCATGGTAGTAGAAGAACACTCAAAATCCGAAAACCATCCAAATTCGTTGCAACTAATTAGTGAAGATTCACCGAGATTGGTAAATTTTTCATCCGAATTGGGCTCCGATTGACTTGCGAAATTGCTCGTGTCTTTTTCGCGCTCAATGTCTGAAACTACAATATTGGTAGTTGTTATTATTGTTGTTGCTGCTGCTGTTAGTGATGCTAATGTTTTCGTCTTCGTCTTTGCATTATTGGTACATGATGTAGTGGTAGTTGTACGTTGATTGTGTTGATTATTCCTAGAAGCCGGCCAAGGGTGGTTATGTTCACAAGAATACGTCACAACTAACATGTTAGGGTCTGCACGGCTCCTTTCAACTTGTTTTCTTGCTGGACATCCCTTTGAACTACTGCATCTATAATATCCCCTGTAATTATCATAATCATTCAATCAATTTCAGATATTTCATACAATTCAGTCCTAAAAGTTTATCAAATTACGACAAATTCCCAAAAATAATTAAAAAGGAAAATTCAATTCACTAACTAACCTAGGATAGGGAGAGCCTTTGATGGGTTTTTGTCCATATTTCCTCCATGCCCAAGAATCAGATGGCGGCATGCTTATTTCACCCTTCATCTTTGATCCTTCAACTTCTTTAATTGGCACTGATACCACTCTCTTTTGTATGGATCTTCTGCTGCAATTCAAAGAAATTAAATATATATGTTGTGAGCACCATATATTTCTCATGCACGCACATGACTTAAATATCAAAACATTCCCTCAAATCTCTTAAGCTGAAGTAAAATTTTCCACCAAAAACAAATGAAGAACTTCTTTATTGAACATGTCGGAAAAGAAAAGTAAGAAGGTATATGAGACTGACCTTCTTTTAGGGGAGGAAGTAGAAGTCATCATCTTGTTATCGTTGAACATGTCGGAACGCGGCGAATCGAGGCTGTTTTCCGGCGAATTCTCGGAATCTTCTTGCTCATGAGATAAAAAAATGTTATTGAATCTTCCATCCATGGCTATATCGAATTGAAGTACTTTTTCTTTTTGTCTCTTTTGGTCCTAAGTTTTGTAATTTATATATATAGAAGCTGTTGATATTTATGGAAGATAAGAGAGAGATTTCATGGGAACAAGAAAATGGAGGAAGAGAAGCGAATAGTATAAAAAGGGAGAGATGGGGTAGAGGTAATTAATTGTTTATAGAGGACGTGCAAGCAAATGTGAAACTAATCCAAAGGCCAATTATAATATTACAATTTGAAAACGACCTTAACGTTTGTTTTATCGTTATTCTAATCCTATTTATTTATTTATGGGCGCCATCAATTTTGGACTATATGGCTAGCTAATGGCTAGATGTCTAAATTTTCATAACTTAGTCCTCATACCATGTGTTTATTTTTCATTTAAAATGACATGTAAACTTTGTTGATTAAGCATCGACACCAAACAACGAAAAAACCCTGTTGATATTAGCAGGGACACCAAGGAAAAGAAAAGGGGGACGAGAAAGTCTACTTAAGATTAGAATTGCACCAATTATATGTAGATTTTGATACCTTTATCAAAGCCTCATTGGGTTCACATGCATGTTCCGAAAAGCATAATGCGAAGTACTTTTAAAAAAATGGATTAAGCATCTGGTATGCGGTATCTATATTGGTCAGATTAATAGGTTTACGTCGTGTAAGATTCATTAAGAAGAAGTATTTTTTTAGCTATCGGTAGTTCATCTATTCTCCGAAATTATTGATTAAGAATAAATAAATCTTATCATTCCACCACATTCTTTAAATAAATCTCACATGCCATCTTGGATGGTGCAAAATCAGACAATTTTGAGGATCTTTTTTCTCTTGAAAATGAAACTAAGGAAATTAATCTATTAATTGGATAGTTTTTCTTGATTATCAGGAGTGCCCAAGCCTAGTTTCAGCTCAATTCTAGCATACAATGTCACAGTAATGATTTTGAGTTTAAAAGAGTGGTCCATATAGGATTAGTTCAACAACAAATTTCGATGCATTGAAGAAGAAAGCAAGATAAGATCAAATGCATTTCTTAATTAATCTAATTATTCATTCTTAATTATTACTTAAGATGGTTAGTACTATTTATATTGATTAGATTATTTAATTTGTCTGTATCCATGTCAACGTCATGTTTTTTGGATAGCATAAACTATTTGCAATAAACTAAAATATTCATAAACGCTATCCTTGATATTTGCAGCTATGAAAAAAATATTAAGTTATTGTTAGAACTCAGAGAATGCTTGAGATGAAGAACCCTAGTAATGGAGGAAGCATGAGCAGAGAATGAGCTGAGGAAGAAGAAGAAAAAAATGAGAAAAATTTGTTCTGTATTTCACAATATAACAGTATATTGTATTTTATACATGTATACATAATTAACTTCCACTAACAGATTAGTGGTCCCTACACTATTTCTACTAACTGAGTATGACAGTTGTACACTAACTATCTAACTAACAACTTCCTCCTTCTTGCTATGTTACTGCATCTGTTTCTACACTCCCTCTCAAGCTAGGTGGTGTAAAGATATTCAGCAATCCTAGCTTGGACACTAAGTACTCATGTTGAGCTCTAGGCAGTCCTTTAGTAAGCACATCTGCCAACTGTTCTTTGGTTCCCACATACTCTATCTAGATTAGTCCTTGCTGAATCTTTTGTCTTATGAAGTGGCGATCAATCTCTAAGTGTTTGGTCCTTTCATGAAAGACAGGATTAACAGCTATTTGTATGACTGCTTTACTATCAGTGAAGATAGTAGCTGACAATTCAAACACCACTCCAATGTCCTTGAGTAATCCAAATATCCACACTAGTTCAACCACTGTTGTTTCAATATTTCTGTACTCTGACCCTGCAGAGCTTCTAGAGATAGTGCTTTGCTTATTTGATTTCCATGACTCAGTGAGTCCCCGTACTTTATACAAAATCCAGACACATACTTCCAAGTCAATGGGCATGCTGCCCAATCAGCATCACAGAAGACTGATATAACACTTTTCTTCTGACTAGATAGAAGTACACCTTGCCCAGGGTGATTCTTAAAATACTTGACCACCCTGAGTGCTGCCTCTATATGAGATTTCTTAGGCTTTTGCATAAACTGGCTATGAGTTTGAACACTAAATGCAATGTCTGGTCTTGTTACTGTCAGATATAGGAGTTTGCCCAGTAGCCTTTGATAGCTAGTTATATTTGGTAATAGTGCATCATCCAAGGTGTTGGCTGTGCCTATGTGTTCATCATACTGTGGAGTAGTGAGTTTCACATTTGCTTCAAGGGGTGTAGCAGCAGGCTTTGCAGCACCTAAGCCAAGTTCAGACACAAGTTCTAATGCATATTTTCTTTGATGCATTAGAATGCCCTGTGATGATCTTGCAAACTCTAACCCAAGGAAGTATTTCAGCTCTCCTAGGTCCTTCACCTTAAAGATCTTTTGGAGTGTAGCCTTGGTTTCTTCTACTAGTCTCAAATTAGGTCCTGTGATGAGCATATCATCCACATAGACTAATACAACCACAATGCAGCTGCCAATGCCTTGTACAAACAAGGAGTGATCATGTTGACTCTGTATGAAACGAAAGCTAATAAGTGCCTCTAATAACTTTGTATTCCACTGCCTGGGTGCTTGTTTGAGACCATACAAGGATTTCAAGAGTCTGCAAGCTGGCCTACTCTCCCCCTGACTCTGAAAGCCCTGAGGAAGAGTCATATAGATTTCATCAAGCAAATCTCCTTGTAGGAAAGCATTGTACACATCCATTTGGTGGATATGCCAATGCTCAGAAGTTGCAACAGAAAGTATGGTCCTAACTGTGACTATCTTAACAACTAGACTGAAGGTCTTTTGATGATCAATACCTTCCTGCTGGCTGAACCCCTTGGCCACCAATCTGGCTTTAAACCTTTCAACCTCCCATGTAGCCTTGTATTACACATTAAAGATCCATTTTCAATCAATATGCACCTTGCCTGGAGGAAGTGAGACAACCTCCCAAGGCTGTATTTTTGATTTCATAGCCTTCACCCACCTTGGGTCTTGAACAACCTCATCATAAGAAGAGGTTCCACAATGGATGAGAAGGCTGCAATATAGGACTGATAAGAAGGAGACAAAGAGTTATAAGAGACATATTTGGCTATGGAATATGGTGTAGTAGTGGTAGAAGGCTGAGTGACAAAGTCCTTAAGCCATAATGGAGGATGTTTGGTTCTAAGTGACCTTCTCAGTGTGGGGCAAGGCTCAGGAGCAATAGACAAAGGTTCAGGACCACTAGAAGAAGAAGTAGAGGGATTTATGTGAGAAAAGGAACATATATCTGTGTACACCTCTTCACAGGTAGGAGGTGAAGGAAGAGAATTGAATATAGGAGGAGAGACATGCAAAGAGTCTTTGAATGGAAAAACATTCTCCTAGAAGACAACATCTCTATTGACAAAGAATTATTGTGTAGAAATATCTAAAAGAATATAGCCTTTTTGAGTGTCTGAGAACCCCATGAGAACAACAGGCTTGGCCCTAGGCATAAGTTTGTCTGTCTCCTGAACTTGCTTAACAAAGCACAAACAACGTAGAGTCCTAAGGTGTCCTAGCTGAGGCCTCCTCTTGTACAACTACTCATAAGGTGAACACCCATTCAACACTGAAGATGGTAGTTTGTTAATCAAGTATGCTGCAGTGATAACACAATGACCCCAAAACTTGATGGGAATGTAAGCTTGAAACCTCAGAGCTCTGGTGACTTCTAGGAGATGTCTGTGCTTTCTCTCAACTACCCCATTTTGCTGTAGAGTGTATGCACAGGTGGTTTGATGGAGAATACCAAGCTTATTAAAGACAGTTTTACACATTGAATTTAGGAACTCAGAGCCATTGTCAGATCTCACCATTTTTACTATTTTATTGAACTGTGTGTGAACAAAGGCAAGGAACTGTGGTAGTACAACAGACACATCAGATTTCAGTTTCAGTAAGAAAAACTCAAGTCATTCTAGTGAAGTTATTAACTACTGTGAGAAAGTATCTATAACCATCAAAGGTTGCAGTTTTATAAGGTCCCCAAAAATCTACATGAATTGGATCAAATACACTAGTACTATTGATACTACTGTGAGGAAATGGTGTCCTGGTTAGTTTAGCACAAGGACACACACAACAATTATTGATGGCATTAGTAATACTAGCTAGTTTAACAGGGAATAGTTTCTTCAGAATAATAATGGACACATGACCAAGTCTCCTATGCCATAAGACTATATCATTGGGATTGATTGAGAGATCAACCTTTGAGGTAACAGCTGCCAAGGACACAACAGTCAACCTCTTGTTTCCATGTTGTTGTAGAAAGCACAAACCATCTCTTTCTCTACCAATCTCCTTCACCCTGCCATTGAAGAGCTCCTGAAACACACAAAAATCAGGTTAGAAAGAGGCAAAACACCTTAGATCCCTTGTCATTTTTGACACTGACAGCAGGTTATACTTGAACTTTGGTACATAAAATACTTCTTTTAGTGTGTTGTTGTTTGATGTCTGACTATCTCCAACATGAGTTACTTGGGTGACATCTCCATTTGGCAAAAGAACCTTTCTAGGGATAGGGGGAGCAATTACAATGGCCTTATCTAACAGATTGACATTAGACACTATGTGATTAGTTTCCCCTATATCAATGATCCATTCTTGTGGACTATTGAAAACTAGTAAAGCAATACTAGTACCTGCTGCATTAGCTTGAGAGGTAGGTGAAAGACTATTGTTGTTTGTTGAGGTAGGACTGACTGTATTACTGTTCAAAATTTGCATAATCTGGTCATATTGTTCCTTGGTGAAGGGAAAGGCACTACCTCCTCCATGTTGTAGTTGTTGTTCCACATTTTCAGTATGACTGCTGTGTTGCAAGGGTTGAACAGATCTTGGCTGCATAGTAGTAATCTGAAAGCCAGGGTTTTGCTGTCCAGAAGGCTGTGTGTAGGGACTTAGTTCAGGTGGTGCATTCTAGTTGCCAGATGTTAAACCATACTCAGCTACTGCATTATAAGCACCAGCTCCCCCTTTTTTCTTAAACTTGTAGTCAGCTGGATAACCAACTATTTAGTTCAGGTGGTGCATTTTAGTTTACAGAAGTCACAGTATAGATTGAAATTCTTTTTGTG